GGCTTTCAGAAAAAGTAATTTTCTTTCTAGCAATGGAGGAGGCTAGACGTCGGAACCTGGGGCAGCGGCTCTGCGGGGTAGGCTTTCTTCTGTTGGGATGGAGGAAGGCCCAGCCATCGGAACGTCCGCCCTTGGGCAACCTAAATGGCTGGCCAGCTGTCTGTCTTTCTCCGTCTCTGCTCGCCTCGACCATTCCTTTATCACTCAAGATCCGCCCGACAGAGCGGGCACCACCTTCCCGAATGGGGTGATCACCACAGGCGCACAGACCCCAAAGCAAACCCTTTGCCGGTGAGGTGGTTCCGACTCTCAGGCACCGGGTAGAACCGAGCCGAGGGTCCCCGCAGACTGTCACATGTTGCTCCCTCGGCGGGGCTGTGGGGCGGGAAACACCGAGCTTTCCAGGGTCGCCAGGTGCTTTCACCACGGCGCCACCAGGGCTCCTTACGGCAGTCGTTGAGCGTGGGATCGACACGTTTGCGGTGGTTGTTTGGATGACAGGCAGAGGGGGTGGGGGACACAATGCTCCCCAGAGGCACCGTGTGGCCGTTGGCGCAAGGCCGGAACTGTCTGGCCGGATCATTATCAGGCTGGCTCCTAGGAGCGAGGGACCTCTGAACCTCCCCCACCCACGTGCGGAGCTGGCTGATGCAACCTTTCAGCAGCCTTGCAAGTCCTTTTCACACGGCCCGCCCTGCACCTGCGCGGATACACCCGGAACCAGGAAGACGCCTTACATTCCAGAAACCTGGACATACCTGTATCTCCCATTCCCTGACTACTTTACCTTATACAGGCCCAAGGCAGCCCAGTCACATGTCCCCCGCAATATAAACACCACTCCTGTAGCCTGGGGGCGACTCCCTCAGCCCAACACTGTGGACTGTGGGACTTCACCCAGGCTGGGTTTGCCTCCTAATAAAGCCTGCTTGCTTACATTCGACTGATTTGGTATCTGGCGCCCTTCGACCACCTTACAGGAACATTCAGAACAGGTCGGTCTGGAGAAACTCTCCTTAGTCATTAGTTTCAAACAAAAAACAGCGGGCTTCTTACAAGCTGAGACTCTGGGGTCACGATTCCCAAGCGGGCAACGTGTGTGTTAGCAAACGAGACGTCTCTCCCTTCGCCGTGGGGACAGGCGGCCATGAGACCGGTCATCCAGGGCGGGGCGCAGGGAGATCCTCAATGCGCTGCCGCGCTCCCTCGGCGCCTCTCCTCGTGGGAGGGGAGCACGCACGCACGGACGCTTGCACGCACGCACGCACGCACGGACGCACGCAGGCGCAGCAGCAGCAGCGCGTAGCGCGTGCTGCCCGGTGCGTGCGCAGAGACCTTCTGTCTCAAGCAGTCGGGCCCCACGTCCGCGTGGCCCTTCTTCGGGGCTGGCCGCGGGGACGCTCTGGGCCGTCGGTCTTCCAAGCTTGCTTTCTTGGAATGCACCTTGGGCCCCACCTCGTCGAGGCGCCCGCCTCCGCTCGGCGGCCTGGCAGAATTCAGCCCAGGTGACCTCTCGGAGGGCCCCCGACGCTTTCGTCAGCACCGCCCCCCTAGTCCCGCTAAGAGATGTCGGTTCCAGGCGGAGGAAGCCGACTGAACCCGGGCGGGGTGGCCTTCCAGAAGCACTGCCATGGTGGGCTCGCCCAAAGAGCAGAGAGGCGCCCCTGCCAGGCGGCTGCCCGGGATGGAGAGAGCTGATGCCAGGATGCTCCGGAGCCCGGCTGAGGGTCCGTCTCCTGACTGCACGGTGGCCCACCGGAAGGGCCTCTCAGGGCTGGCCTGTCCCGACCTCAGGCCTCTTTAAAAAGACGTTGAATACATTCAATCAGGTAATGTAGAGGCTTCAGGGCTTGGGAGTTACTGCTGAATATTATTCTTTGATCCATGGACAGTTTGGAGTCAGAGGGCAGTATTATTTTTTCATATTCCCAGGTTTTAAGGAACCTCACTCTGGCACCTGGGCACAGACACTGTTCCCTTCTGGAGGGTGAGCTCTGGAGGGGAGAAAGATGGGGCTTTCTATTCCTGGAAAGAGTTCCAGTCTCAGAAACTCACAGGGGTGGTTCTACCCTGTCCTGCGGGGCCACTACGAGTCAGCATTGACTTGAAGGCAGAGACTGAGAGGGTCGCTATGAGTCGGAATGAACTCGATGGCAGTGAGTTTGGGTTTTGGGGTATTAACTTGCTACGTGACTTACTTGCCTGGCTGCACTTCCCTCCTCTGTACCAGGCTCGCCTGGGCCACATCAGAGGTTTCTGTCTATCTTATCTTAAAGGATCCCTTTGATTGTTACTTTGTTCCCTTGGAACCACACCCATGTTTAAATAAAATACTTCATTACGTAATCATTGGCTTGATCTTCCACTTTTGTTAACTGATGCTATTTTCAAGTACCAATAATAATAAAAAAAATTGGTCAGTGTAAGATTGCCAAAATTCTTATATTGAGTCAAAGTCATTCTAGCCCCAAATTTAGAAATTTGGCATTGTCATTTATAAAGTCACCTTATCTCTAGTGATTGTACAGTTTCCATGTGGTGTGTTTGAAATATTGACAGCAACTTCATTGGCTCCTCCCTGTCTCTGCTACTGCTTTCTCCACCCTGCGAGTTTTCAGTTCCCAAGTTTGGAGTCTATTGACTGCATGGTCACTGAATGCTTCGGGAGGGCTTTAAAAGGGATTCTAGTTCAAAGGGAGACAATAATTCAATAAAATTCCGCTTTTGAATTTTCAAGATCAACCAAAAGAAACCAAGTTATCAAATGTGCCCATCAAACTGAAATAGACAGGAAACAAATGTGCAGTGTGATTTCATTTTGAAAGTGTATGAGGGTAAGTGAAAAGGAATTGCCACAAAATTATAGAAGCTTGCATTAAATAAAAATATCAAGCGGTGATGCTATTGTTTCTTGCCATATCCCAGCAATAATAATGCCTTTTGACTTACTCTTGTTCCTAGGGTGAGAGTTCTGACTATGGGAGAGTGAAGTTTTAAAGTTTTTTATTGTGAATTGGGTGAAAGGTTGCAGAGTAAACGAACTTCCTTTGGTTCTTTTTGCATATTTTACCCCCCCCCAAAAAAAAAGCCAGTTTCATTGGCATGTAATTTGTAGAACCATGCAATTCAGCAGTTCAGTCACATCAAGAAGAGCTGTACAATCATCACCACCATCAATTTTAGGACATTTTCTTTTGTACTGATCATTATTAGCTTTTCATTTCCCCCCAACTTCCCCTGTCAGATCCCCAAAGAACCTTCATTCCAGTTACTGTCTCTATAGTTTTACCTGTTCTGGAGTTTGTATAGATAAAAACCTTTAAAACCGAAAATTTCAAAGAACTGTCAACAACAAAGTAAAGCTGAGGAAACCCTCAATAGAAAAGAAGGCAGAAAATAATTACAAATCAGAGCAAATTCCAAATAGGTTAAAAGGAAGATCAAATGATAGGGTGTCAAATTTTAACCAAACTGTATCTGCACGAATCCCCCTTCCAGTGCATCCCCAAGCAAGCATAACGCTGAGCCAAATTGTAAACAACAAAGCACTTCAGGGCTTTGGAAATCAAATCAAAGAGCATGTCTGAGTTGCCTAGCGCTGCTGTAACAAAAAGTCCACAGTGGGTGACTTTAGCAGACAGAAATTTGTTTTCTCGAAGTGGAGGAGGCTGGAAGTCTGAAGTGAGGGTCAGCTGTATGGGAAGGTTTCTTCTCTGGGTCAGCTCTGGCAGAAGAGCCTTGTCTTTCCTGAGCATCTGCTCTTCAGCGATCGACTGACTTGATGGTGCTCTTCCCTATTGCCAATCCCTGTCTCTGCATGCTCTCTTGCTTGTTTAATCCCTTTTATTTCTCACAAGAGACTGATCCCAGACACACAACATCCTGCTTATCATCATAACAAGGACGATGCCTTTTTAAATGGAATTATCACCCAGGCATAGAGGTTAGGACTTATAACATATTTTGGGAAGACACAATTAAAGCCATAACATTCCACCCTTTCACCCCTCAAAATTCATGTCCTTCCCACATCCAAAACATATTCACCCCACCACATCACTCCCTAAATCTTAAAATCACCCCCAAGTTCCAGATCACATTTTCTGAAAGATCTGAATCAAATAATGGGTGGAACTTTAGACAAAATTCCATCTGGGAGAAACATTCTTTGTTAGCCTGTGAAAACTAAAATACAAGCTCTCTTCTTAAATACAGTGGTGGGACAGGCACAAGGTGCAAACATTTCCATTACAAATGGGAGAAACTGAAGGAAAAGAAATAATAAAGGTCACCAAGAAAGTAAAACGTAGCAGAACAAGTTGCATTAGCTTGAGAGGTTTGAAAATAATCTTCTCTTCTTTGGGGCCATGTGAGCAAGGGACTCACCCTCCAGACTCTTGAATGTTGTCCACGCTTTCTGGCTATTATCTAAAACTAACCGATGGCTATTAGCCAGGGTCCTTCCTTTTTTTCCACATGGGCATCTCCTCATGGCTTCTTGAGCTTCCTAATAGTATGGCAGTGGGTTTGAAAGTAAGTGTTCCAACACACATGGGAGCAAGCTGCAACATTTCCTATGACCTAGTTTCAGAGATCCTAGACTGTGATATCTACCGCAGATAGTACTGAGAGTGGGTGGTTCTAGAGCAGCAGTTCTCCACTTGTGGGTCACGACCCCTTTGGGGGTCAAAAGACCCTTTCACCGGGGTTGCCCGATTCATAGCAGTAGCAAAATGACAGTGATAAAGTAGCACGAAAATAATTTTATGGTTGGGGGATCACCACAACATGAGGAATTGTATTAAGGGGTCACGGCATTCGGAAGGTTGAGAACCACTGCTCTAAATGTTCTAGAGAAACAAAATCATAAAGATGAGGTTTCTAAATTGGTCTCAAGTCTGATGAGGTATAAAGGAATAGGGAACGCAGCCACAGTCTGTTTGTTTGGATCAGTCTGTCAGTATTAGTCAAGAGGGTGTTGTTAATCTATGGCGTGCGGTGGCCAAGTTAACATGCAAAATAGCACCACCAGTAGAGTGTTCGTGAGAAGTGAGGGTCTGGATGATCGTGTGTTTGGTGTCTTTCACAGTTTTATCATAATAAGTTTAGGAAAGCTGGTTGGTTGGGACTTACAATAGACAAGTAGATGTCAAGAAGGAGTGGACTGTGAGGGTTAGGTCAACATGGGTGGGCCAGGCTTTTCTCTTCTTACAATCTGACAGTGCATTCAAGTTCATGATGTAATCTTCTGTAAAGAGGCTGTAGGAACATTAGGGTAGAGTACTACCTCCTTAATCTGGTCACAGTCCTGATACAATTCAGGGGTGTGACCTACTCAGTGTAGATTGACAGTATAGGTAGATTGATACTTGATATAGATAGATGGATACTTAGTATAGATTGATATTTAGTGTAGCTTGATACATAGTGTAGATGGATATTTAGGATAGATATCTACTAAGGATAGAATGATAAAAGTTAGCTTACTTCTGCTGGATCTGGATCCTACATCTAGATCTTTGACCTCCTGTTACATCACCTGCTGATCCTCGGAGCCATTACTGTATCGGGATTTTCCTTTAGCCAGTCTTAGATATGTTCAGCTCAGCATCCACCAGCCTGTGGTCTTCCCGTTTCAAATGTCTGTTTCTTCTTTGTCAGCCCATGCAGCCACACGAGTCAGGAGAAGCCTCTAGCTTACTTCTAACCCATAGACTTGAACTGGACTGGATTTAGCCGCTTCCACAACGGTGTGAACCCTCTCTCTTTGCACGTGCACTCTCTCTCTCCTTCTGTTTTTGGTGGAAAAATCCCGTTATCTTTAATTCAATATTACATGACTTTTTTTACAGTTTTATTGGCACTTCTTCCACATATCATACAATCCAATAGTTCAGTCATATCAAGTAGAGTTGCACAATCAATTTGAAAACATTATCTTCTTCCTTGTATTCATTATTAGTGTAATTGCTGGTATTTCTTAATTGTGGTAAAAATATACACAACAAAACATTCTCCAATTCAACATCTTCTAATCCATTGATTCTACTCTGCTGTGCAACCATTATTGATATCCTTGTCCAAATGATTCCACCACCATTAACCTACGCTCAATGACCCCTAAGCAAAAACTCGACCTCCTTCACCCATGGTAACCATTGGTCAACTTTGGTGTCTTTCTTTTGTTTCAATATTTTTCTTGATATAAAATTCACACATCATACAGTTTCATAGTTGTTCCTTTTTAAAAGAGTTGCCTATACATCATCACAGTCAGTTCTAGTTCTCCCTTCTTCCTCCAGCATTTGTTTGCTCCCCAATTCCACTCCCCCCACACTCAAACCATTTCTTGATAGAAATCTCTTTCTATATGCACTACACATGCAAGTTTCACTGCTTTCACTTCTCTAGAGAGCCCAGTCCAACACTAGGCCCAAACAAGGGATTTAATTCTCTGAGGAATGAGATGCACCTCTCCAAGGGAGAGATGCCGAAGAATCTGACGAGCTCTAATCTACCAGCCACATAAATGAAAACAGATAAGCAAACTAAATGGAGGGCTAAAATATTGCCATATTATATTTTGATAAATCAGAATATTAAAAAAACCAACCTCCAAATTTCATCATCTGTTATTCACAGTTTCACGTCTGTTTGTTAAAAACAAGCAGTTCTCTTGTCCTACCAAGCCCATTAAAAAATAGGATAGAATCTCACAACGAATGGCAGTTGTCGAAATTGTACATACAGTATTTAGCTTCATGAAAAATTGGCTATGCAATGTGTTTTGTGTGTTACCCATTTTAGCCCCCGTGGGAACCCAAGGGAT